GTGTATTTATTTTACCTTTCGGGTTGGGATTGTTTGCTACTGAAGCCGTGGTTTTAGACTCTTTAGCTAAACTGTGAGAGTAAGCACAGAGAAAGCCATTATTAGAGCAAATAAACAGCAGGATATTAAGGAGTGGGCTTGTTGTAATCCTTTACCAGGCAACCGATAAGGCAAAGAGCTCAGGGACTGTTGTATTTCCTCCATTGGGAACATAGAAGAAGACATGTTTGTGAGTGATGTTTCATATGAACAGAATCTAAGAGTGGTATCTTTTTAATGGCATTGATCTAAAGCAGTACAGTGGATGTCATTTGACACTCTTTGGGGATGTGCTTGCGAAATGGCTGAAAGCGTAAAGCAGGATGACTTGCAAAAATAACTGTATCGTGGTAAATGAACTGTAAATGTGAAACAGGAAACCGTCTACTCATATTTTAACATGTGATTATAGATTATTGTGACTTCATCCCCCAAACTTGTCTTTTTTACAACATTTGTTGAATAAGTAGTTAAATATTTGCTTTGTTTATTGAGTTTTAATGAGGTTGAATGATAGTACTATAAGTAAAAATGAGATTAAATTAAATAAATAAATGTGAGAAACCTAGGTAATATGTTATTTTGGCAGTTTTCCCCAAGAAAAAAAGTAATAATAATAATGTAATTGATAAATTAGAAAGGGACAATGAACTCTATAGAAAGTTGTTTCCTTTTGGGAGAAAGGAAATGGTGACTCAATAAGACCAGTGACAGTCAGTGGACTTGTGGTTGTTGAGGTCATAAATAGGCAAATACTCACATTTTGTAAGAACTGTATTATGTAGGAGTTAAGTTACAGGAAAAGGCAATTTTCATCATACCAGAAAATCCTGTAAGACTTGGTAATGTATAACTAAGAAGAGAAAGAAACAACCTGTTAAATCGATTTCTTGAACAATGGCACAAAAAGTAATAAAAATGTGTTATTGACCAGAATTTGTCTTCATCTACTATATTGACTAATATAAGACCACATGTTATAATAAAAAAATAAATAAAAAATTGGTTTGTGTTAAAATGTCAATCTAGTCTAAAGAGTATAATTGTGGTGTCAAATTGGTATTGAGTATTGGACCTTTCCCTTAATATTGAAATTGAAATTTTACTTGGCAAATTCAAAGTAATATCCCTCTTGGCTCATTGATTCTGCACAAATCTGCAACATTTTTAGTCCCTTTTATATTTAATATTTTTCCCTCATAAGCAGCCATATTTGTTTTGATACAGACGGGCCATGTGTCTCCGACCCGTAATTGACTAATGCACCTGTCAGTCACTCCATCAGAATTTGGAGATTCACCACTTTCCAAACTTACATGTTTTAAAGTATTGAAGTGTGTATTCTAGATCCCAGGCAAGACACCACATAAAGAATTATTGATTGTTTGATTGATTGATTGATTGTTTGTTAATAATGTGCACTATGCACCATAGACAGCCTGTTCTTTTATTGAGAAGAAACATGCTGTGAACATGTCTGAATTAATGACTGCACAACATACAACTTGGCGCCTTCTGTAATTGGCTTTATTAGATTCATGGTCATTACATTTCCTCCAAGTCTGTCTGTCTATATGAGGCTCTGGGACTTGCATTGTATGAGTTTATATTCTCTTGGATGGACAGCCAAAAGCATGTAGTGTTTGATGCATAATATACAAGCCTTTTATCTCCATTCAAAACAACACTTGGTCCATTAGAGACTTGGATTGGAAATCTTTGTCCTGATGAAAGCTCAACAGAAAGGGCTTGATTGTTGTGGTTCTTAGGAGTGGGGCAGGGGTGACGGGGTGAGTGTCACAGATGGGGCAGTGTGACCCATGACCCTTTTGAGTCTGTGGTCATCTGTGTGACCTCATGTCACATCATAAGAAAATATCATCTGAGCCAAAAAAAAAAAAAAAACTATATCAAACTTTTCACCCCAGGTACCACCAAAGAAAAGATTTGGCTACCATCAGATCTAAATGAAGTACCTTACATAAAATGACCATCCCACGTCTAGTCTAGGGTTGATCCGAAGTAGGACAAAAAAGTGGATACAGTTGTCCCTCGCTAAATTTAGGTTCACCTGTCGCAGTCTTGCTGTGCTGCTTTGCGGATTTTTTTTGTGCAATTTTGCATGCTTTTTTTTTTTTTAACAGCGTAGAAACGCGTATTGCGTATTACGGGCGAGTAGTAATTACACACAGGTGGGTGAAGACTAAACCAGGTTTAAACCAGGACTAATTTTGGACTTAAGAGAAAGAACCCCGAGCAGGGTGTCCGCAAAGCACGATTAGGCAATTGCCGCACTTACCTTCATGTGGTGCAGAGCTCTCCGTCAGTCCTTTGTCCTACAGTCATCTCCAAGCCATCCTGACAGTGAGTTCTGGTTTAGTCCTGGTTTACTCCTGTTTTAGTCCTAGTTCAGTCCTGTTTACTCCTCCTCTTCAGTCCTGGAATCAGTCCTAGGTTAGTCCTGGGTTAGCCCTGGTTTAGTCTTGGTTCAGTCCGTGGCATATGCAGCAGATAAATTTGATATAATCTCGGGTTAACGGGCAGGTGTGGTGCTGTACCTTCTGCGCGGGTGCGGCGCTGTACCTTCTGCGCGGGTGCGGCGCTGTACCTTCTGCGCGGGTGCGGCGCTGTACCTTCTGCGCGGGTGCGGTGCTGTACCTACTGCGCAGGTGTGGTGTTGTACTGTGCAGGTGCGGGTCTCCAAAAATGCACCCGTGCAGGACTCTGCACTGTTGGGCTCCATTATGGAATAAATGAATCTTCGGTTCGTTACATAAAGAAGGACGACAGCAGGAATAACTTTTAAGAAGGATCCAAAAAGGGTTGTAACTGCCCTGTCTGAGAAAAGTGTATATAGTGTGTGGTGAGGAGTTTTACAGCCTTAAAATAGATATAATAATTGTAAAATATAAAGTTAACTACTTTGCGGATTTCACCTATCGCGGGTTATTTTCAGAACGTAACCCTGCGATAAACGAGGGACCACTGTACAAATGAATTAGGTTAAACCCATAAACTGAAGAGGTGTCCATTGTCCAAGAACCACTGGAAAGAGCCTTTATACCACCAGAGGTACATGTACCACAGCTTGAGAAACACTGGTATTAGTGGAGGGTATGCCATCGGTTTGATTCACCTGTAAAATTCCACAATATGTCTCAAACTAACAGTTCATCCCATACAGCATTTTAGGCAAGCCATTATGAAGACAACAAGAAAAGTTAGATACGTACAAGGAAAAGATACCACAATGATTTGATCAACTTAAATATTACATTAGATAGTACTTTTTTGACAATGCTAATGGAGACTGTGGTGGTCCCTCATAGTCTAAAAATAAGATCAACAAAAGTATTGTATATGATCCAATGTAAATGGTGTGTCATTGTAAGTCAGTATCTGCAAAAAAAAATTTTTTCCAAACTTGTGCCTCTGAATTAAAACTCCTGTTGTTGTCTGTAAAAGTTTGAGGTTTGTTTTAGTTAAAGAAAGTCTCCGTGTCTCTAAGTGCAGTTCACAGTAGGGCAGCTTATTAGCACTCTCCGGAGTCTTTACTGTTCACCCAAAGCCAGTTCTGAGCCTGCACTAATCCTGAACTTTGCATAACTGAAAATGTTTTACATAATTTTGTGTGCTAAATTCAAACCTGAAGGTGTTTGTTCCTGTTGAAAATATTGCCTTAAATGGTTTTATAGCAGCTGGAGGTCCTGACTTTTATTGTTTACTAAAGAACGTGATTAAATGTCACAGAGGAACTAACTTGCTAAATTGTACTGCAAAAATAGCATTATAAAACACACTTCTAAAATAGCATTAGAAATCTAAGTAAATCATTAATTATAATTGTTATATATAGTTGCAACATCCATTTATGCATTGTAGTATATTTTCTGAATCTGTATTCTAGCCCAGTGATTCTCAAATCTTTTTACATTTAATACCACTCAAGTTTGTTTGCCTTCTAAAACTAAAACATCTGAACATCTAAAAACATCTAAAACAGAACTGCATTGTGACAGTGGTTCTAACAAAACAAATAACATAGAAGGAGGCAAAAAATGGGAAAATCAACAAATCTGCTTTAACATGTTTGTGAATATATTTTTATTGTACAAGTTAGCACATGAAAACTGGATTAGTCCATTGCTACAGCTGATGTTGTAACATACAGGTTTCCATGTACTGTATGCGACCATACAGTTACAGTTGGCATCACCTTTAATTGGTCTCAACTCAACCTCCTGATTTGTGAATATTTTAGCATGCTTTGTGGGAGGTATATATGGCCTGTCAGCAGGTGGTGTAAGCTTCCGGCTTCTAATCACGTTGTGTGTGTGTTAGTAGTGATTAGACTCCTGATTGCTCAAGGCTGATGTAGTGGTGTGAGAACATGTAAATACAGCCCACATAAATCATCCATATTCAGGCTATTGCTGTTTCCAAGAAATAGTTCTAATCGTGTGTCTGGTCGTGACTGTGAACTTGTAATGGGTTATTTTTGGTTTGTTTATTGATTGCTGTAAATTGCACAGTTTGTGTTCATTGTGAAGTCATAGCATTCTAAAGAGCCTATATTTAAAAACTAGGTTAAAGGGCACTGGGCAGTAAAGACTTCTATGGTGAGATTTGCATTTTATAATGTCAAAACGTATATGTTTTACTATTACATTTTTTCTCCCTATTGGGTCTGTCCGCAGTGAACTAAAACTGATGCAAAGTTCAGTGTCTCCCTAATTTGCAGAAATTAAGTTTAAGGTAATAATTATACCTGAAAAGACGTTATTATAGATATGTTTAATGCCATACTGCTGAACATTTTGTACAAAGTAATAGCATCTCTAAACTGGCAGTACTATACCAGCTCTTTAAGAAAAGTTACTTAGTGCATATTTACAATTCTGTTCTGATCTGTTTCAACCATCTGCTGCTTTAGTAACCACTTCTCCTCTTTCTTTATGCAGACGTCATCTGACTGCGATGACCAGCCAGCCCCCTAGCCATGCAGAGAGCGCTCAGTCCAAAACCAAAGCACCGCTCACTGTGTCCCCCAAGTTCCAGCTGCCCCGGCCCCCTTCCAAAGAAACCATCACCATCCGCTTCTCAGCCCAGAAGAAGGATGAAGAGGAGCAGGATGGAGAAATCTATATGACAAACACATCTACTACCTCAGCCCCTCAGAATGACTCAAACATAGTGACAGGTTTGGAGGTGAGCGAGGAGATGTTTGAAGATGCCTCTGAGGAGTTGTCACCAGGGGGCACTGTCAGTGCTGAAACAACTGGACTTTCAACAGAGTCTAAACAAAATCCTCCCACACTATCTCGTACAGAAAAAAACACCAGTTCATCGCCTTCAAAATCTCTGAGCTTTCCCTCAAGCGACAAACCATTCTTGAGCCTGGTCAAGTCACTATCTTCTGACGTTGAGTCTAAAGATGGCACCTCCTCTTCTTCTTCTTTTTCTTCTTCTTCAACAATCAGAAACAGACACTTAAAAAACCTGGTCAAATCCTTTTCCTCTGATACTTCATCCCAAGAGCAAGCTTCTTCTTCCACTTCCCGTCTTCCAGAATCTCGTCTTAATCTTCAGCTTTTCAAACAGTTCACTCAGTCGCGATTACCCACTGCCTCTCTGTCCACTGTAGGGGACTCTAAAACAGCCCCCACATCCCCCATGACCTCCCTCGAAAACCGTAGCTTCTTCAAAGTCGCAGAAGTAGAGGCACGAATCGAGGACACCAAACGTCGCCTTTCAGAGGTTATAGCCGAACCCCTCCAACTTTTGACGAAAATTATGGACGAAAAGAGTGTTGGCATAGGTACTGGCGGTATTTATCGTCCAAAACTTATCTCTTCTAGTGCCTCTGAACTCTCAAATATTTCTTCATTCAACGGTCAACTTGAAAGTAACAACAACTACTGTATCAAAGAAGAGGAGGGTGGGGAATGGGAAGCTGATAGTCCTAATGGTGAACACAACACTTTAGCCGAATCTCCAGTTTCATCATCTCGTGATGCTAAAAGTCCTAGTAAAACTTACCTCTCTATGTCCACTCTGGCGAAACAGGAAGATGAAGAATTTTGTATTTTAACAAATGAAGATTTTGAAACTTGCACGGACAGAGAGGGTGATGGGGGGGACCAAACTGATGAGACAAAAGTGCCCCAAAGCGGTAGCACTGAACCAGGAAGTGACGATGACTCTGAATATTTTGAACCAGCACAGAAAGTTCCATATTATACTTTAATTTTTCTGACGTTGCTGGTGTATGGGTACTTCATATTGCCTTGGCCCACGTATGTGGGGGGAATGCTGCTGGGGATTGGACTGGGTTTCCTTTTGGCCATTGGAGTGGTCTGGCTCTCAGGGCCGAAGTCATCCAGTGGTTATAGATCTTTCAAGCTGCGGAAGTTGGACATTAAACAACCAGACATTTACAAAGTAAGAATCATTTTTGAGCATTTAAAATGTTTATTTACAATAACTTTGTGTATAAAACATTTTAAAAGACTTAGCAGTTATATTCCTTACACAACATGAAATAAGACACAGAGAAGTTTGTTAGCTTAAAAGGGACAGTATTTAAGATCTGCCATTTTCAATACAATCCAGTGGATTGAAACCTAAAACTATGACTACTCTCTTTGTAAACCCCAACACCTACAGCATCATTAATCAGTGCTAGTGCAGCCTCTGCAGCTCAGTGACTGAATTCTGGAGGTTCTGAGCTTGAGAATGAGAAAATCTTGTATGTTTATTTAATTCACTGTATGTAAAACACTTTGGTTTAGTTGTTACTGTTGTTAAGCATCATACAATTTGAATTAATGCTATTTATATGTAGGTCAAGGCACTGGCAACCCAGGTTGTGACTCAAAAGACACAAAGAGAAAAGTATTAGTAAGCTTTATTGAATGAGTCATCTTTGGTGCTCACACCTCAGTAGAAGACATTACGATGAAGGGCATGACCGATTAGGTGACGTTCAGGAGATGTCTTCCCCCCGGTGCCTAGACACTGGAGGTGGTAGAGGTGAAGCTGAGGAGAGTGAAGAGGACGATGAGACGCAGATAGGATACAGTTATGGGGGTTTAAATTGGGCACACTGGGCGCTGATTGGACAGGAGGAGGTGCAGCAAGCAGCGGGGAGGAGCAATGGGAGTGAGGTGATGAAGGTTGAGAAGCGGTGAGATAGACTGGAGCACAGGTAGATCTTCCAGGCTGAATTCATGCTAGCTCCATTTTAGTTTATAATGTCCCTTATGTTGAGTGCTTTGTAAGAACTGCAGGATAGGAACCGTTTGTCAATATTTTCTGCAAATATCCCTAAGCATTCTGTTGACAAAGTCTCATGCATAATTAGATACATGCTATTTATCTTAATAATACTCAAATAAAAATTTCGTAAAAATTTAGATTTAAACCAAACTTTGCACATCTTTCCTAGGGGTGGATGAATGAGATCTCAAACTATGATCCAGAGACGTACCATGCTACCCTAACCCAGTCGGTGTATGTCCGTTTAGAGGGCTCCACCATTCGCTTGTCCAAACCCAACCACAACATCTCCAGGAGAGCCGCACACAATGACCTCAAACCTGATGTCAGCTTTGTCAGCCAGAAAATCTATGACCTCACCTATAGTAAAGTAAGGCCAATACTTTGTACTCTAGCTATAAAAGTAGAAATATTTGTGTGTAACAGTTTGATTTCTGATTCTACAGATACATTTAGTGCCTGAAGGCCTGGCCAGAAAGAGAATTTGGAACAAAAAATATCCCATATGTATTGAACTTGGAAAGCAGGATGACTTTATGTCCAGGACTGAAGGGGACAAGTGGGAGTCCCGTGAGGGGTCATTCCCAAAAGACAAAACAGACGGGACAGGAAGTGCAGCCCTGTCCCAAAGCGTGACTCTGTATCTGTTTGGACGAACGGGGCGAGAAAAGGAGGACTGGTTCCAGCGCTTTTTACAGGCCTCCAAGCACAAAGTCAATCTGAAGAAGTCTGCCAGTGCCATGGTCTTTAAAAGTATGTTATTGTTGTTGTTGTTGTCGTTGTTGTCTTTGTCGTTTCTTTTTGTAGGTCTGTGAGATTAATTGCAATTGAATCAACAAATCACCAATTTGCAGTTTCAGTACTTAAATAGATATCAATAGGTAAAATGTCCTGAAATCTCCTAGTAAACACTGCATAAAACTGACTCAGCCAATAGTTAAGATCTTTGCAATAATGCTCTGAAGTGTGTATTCTTGCATTAGTTTTGCAGTTTATCTTTCAGTTATCCGTCAAATAGCTCTAGGCTTTGTTTAAAAAGTGCACTCTGAACTGAATCCTGTTTTAAAGCATACATAACGATTTTGCCCTATTTTTATATTAATCAAGCTTGACTCACTAGCCAAACAAATAATTACTGTATAGTATTATCTAGATATTTTATGATCATGAGTGTGAATCGAGCATTTACCAGTGTTACATTTTGATTCTTGATTTACTGTACAAATTCTTCATGTCTCTTTGTTAAATGTAGCTGGGGGTGGTCACAGTCGTAGTGGTAGCCGCAGCAGTCTGGATGAGGGTCTGTTGACTCAGTCCAGGCCTAAAGACGGTTCCACATCGACAGCGGGCAATGCCAAACCCTCCCCTCTGCTCGACTACAGTGTGTACATGGCCAACCTCCTGCCAGACCAAGAGGCCTTCAGCCCCTCTGTCTGCTCCTCCCTCCAGAGCCCCATGAGCAGTCCAGGGGTAGACAAGAAGGTACAATATTGTCATTTTATATCATGCACTGTATGTTTACAAAAACAAAAGAGTTTTATGTGGTCAAAATCCAGCGGTGGAAAAAATACTGAGAATTTGGACAGTTATATACTTAAGTACTGCTGACAAATCCGTATTAAATGCCATTATAAAGTATGCATAAAAAATACCTGATTAGTAGCATTTTAGATCAGTCTGTTATACATAATTTGGCCAAACTGGCAGCCAGTGAGGTGCCTTTATGTGACATTATGTGTGGAGTGGGATGGTTGGTACTGCTGAGCTGTACTCCTATGACGTACAAATAGTATTGACTCTACTCCAAAAAAAAGTAAATAATTGGTTACTTTTCTCCTTTCTTAGACTATCCAGGTCTTTCAAATTCTGTAGAAATCTACTTTAAAGTTGTGCCCCTTATTCTAGAGTTATGATGTATGCTGATTTAGGCATTGAAATTATTTAAATATCTAGTTCTAAAATTGGGATTTTACTTTTGATTATTATTTGATTTTGGTCTGTAAAAAAGATGAATCCTGGAGTTTGCCCTTTTCACAAACCCTTCCATTAGTGACACACTCAACATTTTAATTACAATCTAGTTCAAGCATCAACATAGAGATATGGTGTTGGTGTAGTTAAGCAGACAAGTACACAGTGTGCCCTCAGGATAAAGAGAACAGCCTGTACCTGTGTGCTGTGGGGGACATGTATTTATTCATACACATGTACCACTAATGTTCCTCTGTGTTTAGCTCCTAAGCTCCAGCCCCTCCCCTCCGGAGCAGACCACAGGGGACGAGGAGGACCCAGTGGCCTGGCTCAACGCTGCCCTCGGACGCCTGTTCTGGGACTTCTTAAGGGAGCCGTACTGGGCTGACCTGGTCTCAAAGAAGATCCAGATGAAACTTAGTAAAATACGAGTGAGTTAATTCTTTAAATCATTGTTTCTCAAACTGTGGTATGTGGGCAGCTCTTCTGTTCAAGTGTTTTCCTAATTTAGAGACTATTATAGCTACATTTTTGCCCTCCTTTGAGAAATAACCTGGTTTTAACTACTGTGCTAATGGCATAGTCCTATTTTATACCTGGTTTACCCAAGTCTAGACCTGGGGTAGTATAGACCTGGTTTAAATCTGGTGGTTCTCCATCTGGTGGTACTCAAGTTTTATCTTAGTTTGTATTTGTGTGAATGTTCGAGAATCATCACTTTAAATATACCAGTATCTTTTAAATATTTTCTCATATGTTGATTTTTTTACTGCTACAGATGTTATTTTGAGGATTATTTTGACCATTCAAAAATTAGAACAGCAAATTCTTGAATTGTGTATTGCTATGGCATAGGTCCTCATCGCATCACTGATAACCCATAGACACTGAGGCAGTTAAGACCACGAAATAAAAGAACTTGTTTTTCATGATTTAAATGTTAGTATAGCTGCTTTACACAAGTTTAAATTCTTTGAATTATAATCTAGATTATTCATGGAGGGGCTAATGAATTATACCATCTTGTCATTTAGTTGCCTTACTTCATGAATGAGCTCACCCTGACAGAACTGGACATGGGCTCCTCCACTCCCAGAATCCTCAGCGGCTCCAAACCCTACATTGATTACAAAGGTAAAATCCAAGACCACACAAACCCTGAGCTTCCCCCTCATGCACTGGTCAGATGTTAGCTGTGTCCACATTAGAGATAAGAAAAATAAACATGTTATCAGGCAGTTCCTTGTGTTGTAATTTCAACTATATTAGTTGGCACATAGTGGATGGTTAGCTTTTATGTAATACAGATTAACAAATAACCACAATTTAAAATGAAAATGCTTTTACAAAGGCATAATTTTTACTTGGTCAGTAACTGAAACTATATCCTCATTTTCACTAAGTAGGGCCAAAATAAGATTTGCGCTCCATCAGGCTAGAAAATTACACACTTACTCCTACTGAGATTGCAACTCGGGGGTACTCCTGGGGATAGAGACATGTCTGAGAGTTAAGGGCTAAGATGCGTAGGCTGGAGCTGAAAATTAGATAATACTGCAATTTCTATTTTGGAGATATGAAAATATTGTTTATAATGAAAACAATTTATGATTAAATTAGACTGTACATGTTACAGTCTCTTCACTTTTGGATGATACTTGAATCTATACCAAGACATTCACCGGCATGGATTAATTAGCTTTTGGCATCGTCGTCGTCCCTGAGCACTCAAAAATGCTCAGTTCGCATTTTGCCCATTTTGTTGTATTACAGATAAAACACTAGACTTTTGTCAATATCGCCCACCCCTAAGATTAACTACATGTGCGCCTGTGACCTGCTTTACCCCCCTTAGAAAGCACGAAAGCCCATAAAAACAAATGTGATGTCCCATAGCTAGCCTAGAACAGTAGATGCATTGTTGTGTGGGGGGGTCAACTAACATGAGCTGGTTTGTGAACTTAAGCACATTAGGAGGTTATCTGTGGATTAGCCTGAACTATATTAGGTTTTGTGGGTTTGCTAAGAGTTGTGCTACTTCAACTACTTATAATCTACTCTTCTTTAGACTTTTATTGTGCCGTTTTTAACTCTTTTACATTCATTTGCCCACTCATAGTTGTATTTAGAGTGATTTGTGCATGTCTATCTTTATTCTCCTGCATTTAAGACATCATTGCTCTGATCAAGCCTGTTCTTTATTTGTTCTCCAATTTAATTTTATTTATCAGTGACAGACTTAGCATTCAGCGGCATTACTTACATTACCCAGATTTCCGACCCAGAACTCAGTGGATTTGTTTCTTTTAGTAAGTTGTTTTAGATGAATATTGCAATTTAAAATATCCAAAATATAACATCATGATAGATACTGTCATAGATACTATAAATATGTCTTCCTTTAAGAACAACCTTTATTGCTATTTTAAGAAATGTTAAATGTGCTTGAGGTTGCTGTTTTACACATGAATCACACATGTGCATTATGTGTTACTGCTGTTTTCTTTCCTCACTCACTCTGTGCTTTACTTCTTCAATGAGTCACAGTCTTGTTGCTACCACTCTCACATAGCGCCATAATGAGTGCAGGGATTGATTGCACCTCCAACTGTGACGGAAGCTGCATTTCCTGACACAGTTTCTTGAAAAAATACTTCTAAAGACCACAGTGAAATGCATACAAATTTTTTGCTGATATTGGAAGGTTTGAGAGCATCTATCTGCATTTTTTCCATAGCATTGAGGGGTACTGGTAAAAAGTCATGTAAAGAGGTACATCTATGTGATTGTTCGCAGCAGGTTTTTCACAAGGGAAATGCAGGTTTTTCACAAAAATGTAGTGGCTAATAATGATTAACAGATGCGTGTTGCCAGGTGTTTTAAAGTAAATGTATCCACTGTTAACTTAAAGGGATAGTTCGGGATTTTTTACATAAATCTGTATGGCATCCCCATGAGCAGTGTCCTGCATCCACACTGACTTGCCCCCGACAGCGTCCGGTGAGCCGAGTTCCTGGCCGTTTTCGGTGCTGACGGAAGTAGTCCGGCAAGTTGGCTGGGGACTGTATAATAAAGCGTTTTTCTTCTCAGAACAATATATGTGTTCAAAAGAGTGATACATTTGCATCACAAAACCATTGTCGCCTAAAAAGTCAGACCTCATAATCGCTTGGCACTATTTTCTTTCCGTTCGTATCACTGCGCATGGCCGCAATTTTGCAACAGACATTTATACGATAGGTAAATTTCATTAATGGGCTCATTTTATTGACAGGAATATTATGGACTACAGTGTAATTGAAATGGAAAAATAGTTATTAATAGCTAAAAAGTGAAATGCAGGTAAGATTTTTGTATTATTACATTATTGTGTAGCTGTATGGCTGTATTTTCCGTAACTCTACTTTGTAAAACAATTGGACTTGTGTTTCTGTGGCTGTAACATCAGGGCATCTTGGGCTCAGGCTAACTTTACCTCACCCTGCTGTTTCCTGGTATACCCATGCAGAGTGCACTGGATCAATGAAGCTTCCCCACTGAGAGCAGTCGTCTTTAAATGCATTTTCTGTTTTTCATAATCATTATCTAGTTTCATACTGTATTTTTCTTAAATATATTTTCTTCTTACCATTAAGTGCAGGGCATATGTCAGGGCATATCTTACAGGTTAGACTTACATTCCTGTGTGCCAAACCTTGAGCATTTCTTTGTTTTTTGTTTTTTTTTCCCCAACAATTTGTCCTTTTTTAGCTACAGTACACAAAGAAACTGCCCTATTAGCTGCAGCGCTTTTAATGTAATACTTCTCCAGTTAGGAACAGATTAAGTCCCTTGCCTGTCATTTACAGTTGTTAATAAGGTTTTGAGCTGTATGCCCTTAAACCCAGTGAGGTCAATGGAAGAGAAATATTTTTTCAAAATTTCCCTAAAATCATGTACCTCCTAGTGGTATGAAGGCAAAAATGGCAAGAAAAAAATGTGGGTCTATTTGGTTCTGTTTATGCCATCTAGATAATCAGGACTTTAAATGTAGTGTTGCCACTATACAAAACTTTCAAAATAGATAATGATACTATGGCATAGGGTCAATTCCTATTTTGATACTACTGTGTTAATATAAACAAACATGTTTTGTTTGTTTTTTTCTTTTTTTAGAATTCAATTTTCAACACCAAATAATAGTTGTTTACGGTAGACCACAAGGTAACATAAGGCCACTTCCTTCCTGTGGCTCAGAGAATAGACTTGATTTTTTTTTTTTTATTAATTTTTTTTTTATTCTGTTTGTTGTTCGTATTGTTGTATTGTTTTTTTCATGTCACTTTTGATTTTAATGTCACAATTGGGCTATACAGATAAACTTGCCTTGCCTATACAAATTCTAGTTAATCTCTTGATCATGTTCACTGTTCAAGAAAGGTTAGATATGGACTGATACTCAAGTTATCTCGTCTCTCAAAGCAAAATTAAACAGTGCAGCAATCACAGTTCCAACAAGGGAATTCTGATATCAGTACTAGGACTGAATTACTACACTTTCTTATTAATGTTATTATAGTTGAAATACCAAATCCACTATTCTGTTTGAAAAATGCCCTGTGTCCCTATGTCCCTGTGTGTGCAGGCCTGTGGTTTGATCTGGATGTTGCCTATAGCGGCTCCTTCCTGATGACCCTGGAAACCAAGATGAACCTGATTCGTTTGGGGAAAGAGGAGGAGACCCTGCGCTTTGGGGAGCAGGGCAAAGACGGGTAAGGCCCCCTGCTGATAAGACCCCTCTCCAGTGTTCCCTCTAAGGTGTGAACGTGCACGATTGCGCACTGCCCAGTTCAGCGCGCACATCAAATTCTTTGCAGCACATAAAATAAAATCTAACCTGAACTTATATAAACACACGCATGGAACAGTCAATTTGATTCAGGTTGCACATGTGAATGTACACACCCATTAGGAACAAGCCAAATACAAACGGATACATTTCGACTCCATTCGCTCACTTTCTTCAGAATGACCGTAGCAGTAGTGCACATCGCTGCTCAGAGCGGCAGGTCTGCACGAGCCAAAAGGAGTGCAGGGATTTAGTGTGTTTTCTCAGACACATGAAAAATTAGGGGGAACGTTGTCCATAATGCAACTGATTGTCAGAGAACACTAATTTCAAATCCCAATTGAATCATATTTCAATCATATTTATTTATTTATGGATAAATGCATTTTATAGTTGGCCTATTTTCTCTTGTCGAATAAACCTCAATGCTTTTAAGGTGAGTAAGACAAAAATGTAAATAAAAAGCACTAATCACTGTATAAACTTTCAGGTTAAAATATTATATTTGTCTGGGTTAGGCTCCACCTTCATAGTTTGAATTTGTGGGTTGAAACAAATGTGACTAGTTTTATGGTTCAATTCATAGTCATACAGTAAAACTCCTCCATCTTGTTTGCTATCTAGTCACATGCTCCTCACGTGCGACTCTCCATTTTCTCACCTGTGCTATTTGAAAATTTCCCCAAGTTGATTGGGGACTAAAGGTGAAATGAATGTATTAAGAGTATCTCTACTGAGCCAATTTTCTCACAATGTACCTGTCCTGCACTGTACAGCCTCACCATGTAAGATTTCAGCTGATTAATACAGTAGAAGAAAAACATTTTTGTCTCTCCACAGACCTGACTTGTAACTTTTCAGCTGTCCTGCTTTTCTCCATTGAGATATTTTTGCTTTGCCTGATATATAGTCTACGTAATAGACGAGCAGGTGCCATAGAAACCTACCAGAAATCCATGTGGTGCTTTTTTTTTTTTTTTTGTCTTTTTGAAACCTATATTTGTGAAAAACATTTTTCTAAGTTTCTCTTCATATCTCGGATACAATTTTTTTCTGTTATAGAACTATAAATAAACCAACATATTATTTGGTCCGAGTCTGAACCGTCTGTGGAAACATACTTTATGTGTTGATCTTACACTGACCCCTGGTGTCCAAACAGTATATTTTACACATTAAATCTTGACATGGGATGGGCATCTGGTGTAAAATCTTTGTGTCCAATATTATTAGAAGAGTTTGTGTATCAACACTTATATTGAGATTTGAGGTTTTGTTTTTTACTGGAGCAGTGTAGTTTCAAATCATTTTTACAAAGTAACTTTGCTCATATAGTGAATTACTTAGTAAAATTTTATATTTTTTCAATGTTCATTTGCATTATGTACTTTCTGCTATATATTACATTATGTATCCATATTTGTTCTTATGATGTTACCCTGGTCACATGACTATTTACCCCTGATGAACACAGGTTAGTGTTGAAATATATTCATTTTTGACACATCTTTTTAAATACCAAAAAGACACTTTCTTAGACATTTTTCAACACAGTTTATTTTTTAGTTCATCCTCATTGGCCGTAGAACAGTCTAAGGTACTCTCCTCTTCCTCTTCTTTCCATTGCTTCTTGAGCTTCTCGACAATCTGCCCCAGCCTCTCTATCTCCTGCTCCACCTACTTCTCATCCATTACATTTGTCAGTTGGAAGTGTTAGAGCACGGGTGTCAATCATGTGGCCCGGGGGCCAGATCCGGCCCTCCAAGACCTTTAATGTGGCCCTTGGCTGATTTTCTACTAAAAATATTTGAATTATATTTTCTATTAAAGTATTTGTAATTTTCTGCACTGCTTAGCATAGTGTCTCCAGTGTCTCTGTATGTGACCCCTCCCACCAGAGCAGCACAAATGAAGATTGTCTCTTTCCAAACGCTCTTAAAGGACGATCGTTTTGACTGTTGACCGTGACACCCTCATCAGAAAAAGTCAAAAATGCGAAAAGTGGAGCCGAGTGCAGGATTTTCTAAAAATTTTTTTACTTATTTCTATTTGCATACAAGTTAAAACATTGTGTTGAAATTGTATTTTTCTTAAAGTTTCAGGTTGTTCATGATATTATAATATTTTGTAAAAGAGTTCATCAATTAAAAAAGATTTCTGTAATAGATTTGTGCTTCTCTGCACAAATATTTGAACTTATTGCTATTTTTTTGGGGTATATATGACATGTGTTTTCTGATCCGGCCCCTTTGGGATCAAAGTAGGTTGGATACGGCCCCCTGAACAAAATGAGTTTGACACCCCTGTGTTAGAGTCTTGTCATTGCTATCTTCAGCAGCTCCTGGGTGCTTTCCATGTTGGTCATACATATATTTGTCTGTTTGTTGATTTTTTGGGCTGCCTTTGGTTTCTTCGATTTGTAGAAGCAATTGTGTCTTCTTGGTCTGGTTCTTCTGGTCAGTCCCCTCTATCTGCCTCCTGAGGGACTCCTTCTCTCCCCTCTCCTTCTCGATCTTCTTCTGGAGATCGGCATTCGTTTCTTTCAGTTGCTCAGTTGATCGATATGTAATTAAGCAAAAATACAGTGAAAACATGTATATAGATAAGTTCATTGTTCAAAAAATGGTTAAGGTTAAGTGTTTGTAAGGGGTAAAGTTCATTGTCCAACATTGGCTCAGGTTACTGCATGTGTAGCAGTCAGTTCATAGAGAGTAATATACAGGGGAGACAGGCGGTCATTAGTTTGGTCAATAGTTCTTATAGTTCTTTAATTCATTTTGTCTAAGTCTGTAGTAGAAGGACCATCCTTATAAATCTGAACTAAGACCTGAGCCACTGTTGCCTTTTTGCTCATACTCAGTATTTTTAATATGTTTGTTTTGTAACATATTTGACAATGTACTCTATATGACCATTGATTAAAACCTGATTGTACAATTATTTTATTTATTTATTCACATTTTATTTATTTTTGTTGTGAAATTTTGGAAAAATCCAGATGTATTTTGTAGTATTTTTTAAAAGACCTTTTTTATTTTTATTTTTTTTATTAAAGTTGAGGAAATTGTATATATCTTTGTATATATGTTATGGATGTATATTAAAGGGGGTTAGCCATTTACAGTATTGTATAGTTCTGGAAAAGTACTCTGCCCTCTTCCCCCACCCCCTCTCTCTCCCTCTCTTCTTGTCTTGTGTGATATGTATATTTTCCTCTCTGAAGTCTGCTCTACTTTCTGTCACAGTTTC